TTTTCTTGATACATCAAGATCTGCAGAGGAAAGGCCTGCTCAAGCAACTTATAATAAAGGTTTTCATTCAAGAAAATTACTATTAGGTGCATCGGCCACAGTAAACTGTGAAATTCCTCTTAATAGATATTCTTTCTTTGAAGCATTGGAAGATAAATTACTTCCAAATACAAAAATTGAGCTAAATATTGAAATTGAAAAAGATGCTAATTTAATTTTTCAAGCTGCTGATGATTGTAGAGTTATTATAACAAGACTACAACTTTTTGTACCAAAACTTACGTTTAATTCAGAAGGACAAAAGTTGTACATGGAAAGTTATCTGAAATCTGACAAATGGACATATTTGAATGAAATGGTAGAAAGATCAAATAATACACAGCAACAGACAGGACATTTTAGAATTACAAATGCTATTTCAAAGCCAAGGCATGTATTTGTTTTTGGAATTAATACAGCAAGAATTGATGAACAAACAGCAAATCCATTTTTATACGACACTTTTAATCTACCAAATAATGCTAATATATCAAGATGTTACTTGGAAGTTGCAACTGGAAACGAATATCCAGATATTCACTTTAAACCTTCTACAGATATGTCAAGAGTTTTTAGAAATGCAATGTCATACGTCTATGCAAATAACGATTATCAAGGCGGAACATTACTAAATAGAGCTAATTTTAAATCTTTATTTCCTTTTGTTTATTTTGACCTGACAAAACAAAAAATGGATATCAAAGATGGTGTTACAAAATTAGCATTTCATTACGAGTTGTCTGCTAACCCAAACGCTGATTATAATATTTACGCATTAGTCTTACATGAAAGAGTAGAAGAAATATCACAACAAGATGGAAAACTATTGCTTCGAGCATAGACCCCTCCCTTTGCTACACTGCATATGATTTAATATAACCACTTAAATAAAAAATGACTACTTACTTTGAATACGGTGTAACACTTACAGATGGACAAAAGTCAAAATTGGCTTCTGCAATATTAAATAAATCACCACTAACTCTTCGGTGAAAACATTCACATCTTCGAGGTACTGATGAGTTAATGCTGACAAAAAGACAAATTGATAAAATAAAAAAATCTATTGCAAATGGCACAGGATCAGATATAAAAATAAGTAAAACTCAGATTAGAAAATCTGTAAAGCATGGTGGAAACTTATTTTCATCACTCGCATCTCTTGGAGCAAAAGTACTACCATATGCAATAAAAGGAATTTCAAAAGCTGTTCCTGCATTAGCAACTGGTGCTGCAACTGCACGTGGAGAACTTGGAATAAATAAAATATTTGGAAAAGGAATCACAATTTCCCCACAGTTTTTCCCAATGTTACCACCTCTTGTAAGAGAATTTACCAAATCACAAATAAATCAAATTAACAAAGCTTATCAAACAGGTGGGCGATTAGTTATAAAACCAACTCGTAGACAGATAGAAGGAGGATTTCTTGGAACTCTTGCATCAATTGGAATTCCAATGGCAATTAGTTTAGTATCTAAGATGTTTGGATCTGGTCTTCAGGTTGATAGACATGGATCATCTAATACAGCAAATGTTTACGTTCCACATCCTCCTCCTCCACCCACACATGGTGAAGGTTATCCTTACTACCCACCACCCTTTTTAGGTACATGGAACAACCCAATTGGAATGGGAGTTAAAAAAAAAAAGTCCAAGTCCAAAGGAAAAGGTCTTCTTCTAGGAAAAAACAGCCCATTCAACTCAATTCCAATATTAGGAACAATTTTGTAATTAAACCTCTATCCAACTTCGATCTTATGGATTGGGTAAAAAGACTTGGTATTAAACATTTTAGAGGAATATATAGTCGCGATGGACTACCAAATAGGATAAGAAAAGAATGTGGAATAATTAATCTAGATGATACTCAGGGATCTGGAACACACTGGGTTTGTTACAGAAATATAGACAATGTAGTTGAGTACTTCGATCCATTTGGTTTAATAGTGCCAAATGAAGCATTAAAGTATTTTCGTACTTCTGGAAAACGAATAGTTTACTCAATGGATGAAATAAAAAATCGTAGTACTGTTCTCTCTGGTTATTGGTGTTTATATTATCTAATTGAGAGGCAACAGGGTAATAGTATTCTAAATGTAATACATAACTCACATTTTGATAATGACAACAGTGATTTTATAAAAGCTTATTTTTCTTAATTTCTTAAGATTAAATGAAATATTTTATTTAATCTATACTTTAAATAGTTTTACTATTTAGGGTAATACGATTTAAATTTATTTTCAATTTCGCTGTAATTTTTTTCTAATTTCTTCAAATAATAATTAAGATCTAAAAGCCTAATAAATTCTTCAGAAGTTTTAAAATTTTTATTTTTAATATATAAAATTAAATTATCCCAAAATTCTTCTTCTTTTTCATTAAAAAATAAACAAAAATCAGTATTTCCTTTTCGAAAATCATTTATATATTTTATAATATCAATTCTAACCTTTGCTCTTTGTCTTGCTATATCGTTATCATATAAACCTCTTAAAATATCTTTCATTTATCTTTATATTACTAATTTTTAAACTATTTTATTCACTATCCGCAGGTGTATCCTTTAGCTGTTTAACACTTTCAACTTTTTTATTTAAATCTTTAACACTATCAACTATTTCATCAAATTTCGAGTAAATATTAATAAGTCTAAAAAGTTTCTTCTTTTTATCACTATTTATTTTCAACCAGGAATAATCCTCATTTTTGATTTTTAACCACATCTCACATTCACCAGCCATTAGTATTTTAGAAAGATCATCATTTTTCTTTCTAAGAGTCTCAAACTCATTATTTATTTGTGTTCGAACATCTTTCTCAAAATCTTTTAATGTTTTAACATCCATCTTTTTTTCTATTTCAGAAAAGAATTTGGCCTCCATTTATTATATAAATAGATAATTTCGTTTTACAACTTTATTGAGAGTACTTGATTTTTCACTTATTTCCATAAGTAACTCAAATACTTTTATAAATCTAGTGTCGTTTTCCAATCTAGCAAAATCAGCATATTCAAAACTCATGTTTAGGTTATTATATATCTTTTGAAGTTCACTTTTTAAAAAATTAGATCTAGTAGACATATTTATCTAAACATTATGCTAAATGACAGAATCATATTGTATTGTAGATAAAAGAGTAACTCCTTGCACAGAGCCAAGTGGTTACCAAAAAGATAAAAGAGGTAGAACTCAATTCTTTTGTAGATGCGCAGTTTGCGGAAATAAAAAAGTTATATATGTGAAAACTGGAACAGCTTCTCAAACTAGTAGTGGAAAAAAGAGAAAACGAAAGTTAAAAAACTAATCAGCCCGTCTGAAGGGGCGGGCGTCTTTGATACTGTTGTTGGTACAGCAGTTGATGGTTTTGTTAATTACGGTTTACCTTGGATGGGTAAAAAAGCAGTTGAAATGGGACGATATGGAGCAAGCGAGTTAATGAGAAATAAAAATCTTCAAAAGAAAGCTGTAAATTATGGTATTAATAAACACACTCCATTTATTCAAGATTCTGTTGGATCAGCAATGGACCAGTTATCAACAAAAGTGAGACCAAAAAATAAATATAAAACTGATAGACCAGAATTGTATGGAAGAGGATTTGATATTCACAATGCTATTCTCAAAGTGGCACCAAAAAAAGGTTTAGTTGTACCAGGCCAAAATTATACTGGCCCTGGTAATCCTCTTGAGGACCAACTTCGCCATGATGATGAGGGAAATATACTAGAAATATATCAACAACCAACAGGACCAACTGATGCAGTTAGTATGCAACATGATGTTGACTATAGCGTCTGTGGAAATAAACCAAAAAGTGAACAAGTAAAATGTAAAAATGAAGCTGATAGAAAAATGGTAAAATCACTAGATGCAATTCCTTGGAAAAAAAGACAATGGGGTCATGCTTTGGCTAGAACATTAATAAATACAAAACAAAAACTTGGACTTGGCCTTCAAAATAACGTGAGTCGGCGTTGAGTAGTGATTGGTCTCAACAATTAGCCGACGAACTCACAAACCAATCACAAGAAACTTTCAAAAGAGATCAGTAGTCTCAAACGGAATTGATGATATCTGGGCTGCTGATTTGGTTGAAATGCAAAAGTTTAGTAAATGGAATAAAGGGATAAAGTATCTTTTAATTGTAATAGGTGTGTTTAGCAAGTATGGTTTGATTGGGGGATTAAAAGATAAGAAAACTGAAACTGTTAGTAAAGCATTTGAGAATATATTTAAGAGTAAACGTAAACCAAAGATGCTATGGACTGATAAAGGTTCTGAGTTTATCAGTAAACATTTCAAAGAGTTTCTGAAAAGAGAGGGAATCAAACTGTATCACACTGAAAATGAAGAAAAATCTAGTGTTGTTGAGCGATGGAATAAAACAATGAAAAACAGAATGTGGAAGATGTTTACTGTGAATAACAACACTGTTTACTGGGATAAGATAGATAAACTGGTTAATGATTACAATAATGCGAGACACTCTAGCATTAAAATGACTCCTGTTGAAGCGAGTAAAAAGAAAAATGAAACTAAAGTTTGGTCTAATTTGTATGGTGATTCGATTTACTTGAAACCTGGTAAACCAAAGTTTTCTATTGGAGACAAAGTTAGAATTTCAAAATATAAGAGAAAGGTATTTGATAAGGGTTACACACCAAACTGGACAGAGGAGATATTTGTAATTGATAAAGTTCTTCCAACAAAACCTGTTACGTATAGTATCGTTGATTTGATGGGAGAAGAGATTAAGGGTTCTTTCTACGAACAAGAATTACAGAAAGCAAAACAGCAAACATTTAGAATAGAAAAAATTATCAGAAGGGATAATAAAAAGAAAATGGCATTAGTAAAATGGAGTGGATATCCTGATAAATTTAACTCATGGGTGAGTTCTAAGGATTTGGTTGATTTTTAATACAAAATTTGTATTAAAAATAAATCCTATAATTAATCAGTTTCTTCTTTATCAGAAATAACTAAGTCTTCAACTACTTGCTCAGTAACCTCTTCCTCTTCATCTTCCTCTTCCTCTTCAATTGTTAGTAAAGACTCCCTAGGTTTTAATGGTTTGACAAAGCACTGATGTACTTTTATTTGTAAAGATGTTACAGCCTTACTAATAAATATTCCTTCAATAATCAAAGCCATTTTAACATTACAATACTGATCAATATATTTAAAAGGATTTAAATCTTTTTTCCCCTTTGTTTTAAATAGTGAAAGAATTTTCTTTGATTTCTCAGAGTAAATAAGTTTTGCGTAAAGAACTGGTGCGGAAGAGGGATCTATTCTTGTTTTCTTCTTTCCTTTCTTATCTATATATTCTTCTTGTTTGTAATAAAATGGTGAAGATAGAGTTGATGCTAGATCTACACCGTATTCATTCTCTAGATGTTGCCGAGAGATAACTGTCACATTGTCAATAACGTCAAAAAATGCTTTTTCTTTAGTATTCGGCTCACTACCTTTAGCTCAAAGACATACAGGCATACTATAACCTACTAACTTGGTTTTTCTTCTCATTTACTCCAAAGCTGAAAAGAAGTGGAGTTTCGACTACCAAAGCTCCTTTCTTTCCATTTGGATATTTGACTTCAATTGGGATACGTTTGTATTTGATTTTGCTATCTTTCACTTTGTACTCTTTGGCTTCATTAAAGATAATGTTTTCTGAGGTTAGATGATCGTAAGCGGATAACTGCATTTTTTTATTATAAAAATTTAATCTTTAAATCTTTTTTTCTGGCCAGAGTAGATGAACTGACCAATAGTTAGCCGATTCAGGATTAAGTTAACTCCCCCCGTTTATTTTTAATCTTTTTAGCTCTAGTAAGATATTTATCTCGTCGATCTTTGTCTTTGTGAATAGTGTAGTCTGGATAATTTGGTGATCCAAAATGAACTTTTTTTCCACGTGGAAGTGTTGCCATGTATTTGTTATTTTTTCGTGTTGAATAATCAAGCGAATCAGCGCCAAGTTTTTTAGCATTTTGGGTTAACTTTTTAAACTCTTTTCCACTAACAAGATATTTTTCATCTGGAACATAATCTGGATCCACATCATGTCTATAACCATCATCAACTATAAAGTCCAAATCCTCTTTTGCAGGAGTAGTTTCTCTTGATTTTGGTTCCATTTTTTTTTTATTATTTGTTTATATTATTTTTGTTGGGGAAAATCCCCTACACAACTCAGCAAACGGGAATTTTCCCTAATGTTATTTTTGTTGGTAATTTCCCTAATTACGCACACAACTCATCAAATGGGAATTTCCCTTCAATCTCTTTTTAAAATACTTTCTTGTTCGCTCCATAATTATTCACGATCAATTTCAGCTATTTCCTCTGGAGAGTAAAGATGATTTAACATAACATATTTAAAAAAAGAATCTAATTTTTCATCATTCACAAGAGCTGTCATCACACCAGAAATACTCCTGATAAAAAATTTATAGATATAGCTAACAATTTATTTAATAAAATAGATGGTTATAAATCGGTGGAAATATTTAGTAAAGTATTAATTTTATAACAAAAAAATATTATAAAATTAAAAATATTAATCACTATCAGATAATAAATCTTCAATTTCATCAAAAACTCCGTAACTATCACTATCACTATCACTATCACTTAGACTTAAACTTTCACAATCACATTCACATTCATTTTCAGAATAGTCATTGTAGTAATTTAATTTAAACCTAAATACAATAAAATTCTCAAAAAAATCTGTAAAAATTGAACTTTCATTTAATTTAACAACTAAATCGTATAATTTAAAATTTAATTCGTTAATATTTTCAACATCACTCTCTTTAAAGCATAAATCTTTTTTGAGCTGTCAAAAAATGACTGAAATAACTAACAAGACTTTCTGCTTGATGTCACATAAACACTTCTTCATTATATCCATCACTAAAATCAACTTTATTTAATTTCTTTAAAAATTCACCACATTTTTTATTAATCCCTCTTATAAAAAGGTATTCATTTTTATAATCCCTTGCATATTCTGGGATTACATTAGTTTTTTTAATGCAATTCTGTGAATTCGAAGAGTGCGCCAGAAAACCCATTTTCCTAACTACTAAGGCTAAGTGATTTTAGAGAAAAATAATTTGCAAACAGTCCATCTAAGGTTGAACTTAATCTTACATCGAGTGGATAGCCTTTGTGTACGGCCCAAAAAGAGCCATAATGGCGCTTGATCACAGTAGATTAGGCCTGGAAAACAAATCAGGCTGAATTTTTTGCGTTCGACAAGTTTACTTTACAAAATCTTGCCAACAAGTCTGGGAACGTGTAAACCAACCTTTTATACTTTTTATACATCACATCTGAGGTGAAACTGTAACATGAGGCGCCGTTTTTATCATACCGACCTCGGACAGAATGCAGTATTTCACAATTTTGCAATACAAATTGCACTCGTTCAATATTCAGGACGATCGAAGCACGCGTGGACTTTTTTTTAGCGAAACCGTTACAAAAATTTCCAAAATCACCTATACGGCTAGCCGGTTCTCACTTTTAACAAGCGCCAAAGTCGACTGTTTAAATTAAGATTAATAGAGTAATACGCTTCAACATAATAAAGAATTTATTATGCTTATTTTTTATTTAATGGTTTTATAACGATGTGTAATCTTCAAAAGCATTTGATACGCACGGCATTTTGACTACTCCTGCAAGCGATGTTCATGAGCGATTGAAAACAAACGGTACAGCGATTAAAATTGCAAAAGAGACTACTAACAATCAATAAAAGGAAAATAATTCGGTGAAACATATACAGAGACAACAATTTTCATTCACGAAGACAAGTATTAAAGTGTCTGTGAAAATCCTTGTTTATGTTTTAAGCCGGCTTCCCGGTGTTTGCTTTTTTCAAAGATGAAGTCGAGGCAAGAAAATCGCTCAAAGGTTTCTTTTACAGCCAGAACTATAACTAAATATTCTTTGGAACGTTTTCTTTCTCTTTGCGGTGAGAAAATGTCTAAAGGCTTTTTAAAGTTCTAAAAATCAAACCTGATACTCGGTCAGATCATTGTCTCAAATCTTACAAACGTGCATAAACCAAATAGGCGCATAAACTACGCTCGACTTCATTAAATTAGATACAAAACAAACTTCAAATACAATAATTACTCCGGCTTACCATTCGAGATGCACTGAACACTATCAAGTAAGGCCAGAATCGCCGCTTCAGACTTTTCAACCGTCTTACGCATCAAGCAAGGTGAAAAACGAAAACGATACCATCCGAAATCGGATTTCCGACTTTGCCAAAGCGACGTATTTCTTAACCACAAACCCAGTAAACAAACTAGCCATGAATAACAGAAGACTCTTGATAGCAGCTGAATTTCACTTTGTACATTCAGTGGAAAAAGACAGTTAAAAACATCACAAGTTGACTCAAAACTCTGTCAGCTTCAGCTGTCAAAGTAAACAAGTTTAAAGATGCTGCATAAATTTTCCGCATGAACTCTCCGGTCAAATTTTGAGCAATCAGAGTATAAAAATTGGACGTAGACAAGACCAACGCGTGACCTTAGTGAGAAAAGTCAAAAGCAACTGGCATGTCTTCCCTGCCTGTAAAAACTGGCTGATTTTTAGCTTCCGAGGTCGGTTTGAAATCAAAATTTTAATTGTGCGGCACATATAAAACACAACATATTTCATATGAATTTAAAAAAAATTGAACTTGAGCCTGCAATCGACCTCGATGGGTCGACAAGTGAGCCCGCGATACGGTCAGGTGATACTGGTCAGCGGATACCCTGTTTTGACAGCTGTCAGTTGATCACAACATTGATGTGCAATATGTGTGCAATATCAGTCTTCCTGTACTTCCAAACTAGCTAGAAAGTATGAGTGAGCATTGGTTACCCTGTGGTGCGGACGGACGGGCGGGCGGTGTACGGTCACGTGATTACCAAATTTTCTGGGATGGGTAGATTTACTTACCCATGGTGCTCCGCAGGCGTGCTTCGCGCGCCAGAGCTCCGCTAAAACCCCAAATGACCACACCCAAAATCGAAAGTTGGTTCTCTTTTGGACTTTTTCAGCGCCCTGAAATACACCTATTGTAGACATCATTTTAGACCTACACTCGAACCTCCCGTAAGCGACCAACCAAAATGCAAAGACTGAGTGTTCGCTTATGAGAGGTGGTCGTTTACCATCCTTGGAGACCCAGGGGCAGATAGTGGGGTCGAGCAGGTGCCGACTAAGTAATCGGCTGTAACCCAGCGAGAGATCTGGGACCTAAGTTTAGCTAGGTCAATTTTGGGCTGCCAGGGCATGAACCCATTTTTTCCATGCCTATGAGATGTTATTTCTAAGTACCAATGTTCCCTTGAATTTTGTCATGCCTAAATATATAAAATTTTCCCTCTCTCATTAATCCTCAGACTGGATGCGATTTTTACGCTCGCTAGGCATGTTCAACTGAAAATAATGCCCATACCCTCATTCAAAACAAAATGCTATCAAATTTTAGTTTCCAAGCCGTTCATGTGCGAACACCTCCCGTAAGCGACCGTCTCCCATAAGCGACCGCCAATCCAAAACACCAAAATTTTCCCAGTCAAAGCCTTACAGTGGGAACCTCTTGTAAACTACCACCTCCTCGGTATATAAGCGACCGCGACGACTTTCTGAGCCTGACGGTTAAAGATTTTCCATTGTTTTTAACCGCTTGTAAGCGCCCACTTGACGCCGTTCCCTGATTTCTATTTTCGCTGTATGCCCTATCTTAGTAGAACATACCAAGAACTTTAGTGACAACATGCAATTACACATATCCTATGTGCCTGGACCTTTTCTCGGAAGAAACCCCCTGTGGTTCTTGTGGTTCGATTCTTGTAAACGACCATCCTCGGAGAATCAGGGGCAGATAGTGGGGGCGAGGGAAAGTCTAAACGGGCGGAAAACTATGGCACGAAGAAAAGTAAAGAACGGCGAGAAGAGCCCCTGGGGACAATGTCCTACCAGACCAGTTCCAAACGGTCGCCGCCGTTCTGCCTTCTGATTTGGCAGAAAAACACAAAAGTTTTCTGGCACCAGTCAGAAGGCAGAACGGAGGCGACCGCTTGGAACTGGTCTGGTAAGACATTGTCCCCGGGG